GGGGGTGGGTTGCTGCTTCAGCTGCCCGGCGGGTGTGTTTGCCTTTGCTTTCCCCGGCCCTGCTGAGAGGCGATTTGCCACCCAGGCTCCTGGCCTTCCCCTCATTGGACGCCTCGAGGGCCGGCTTTGCTGTGAGCCCACGCAGCTTGGCCAGGGGAGTAAAAGTGGGGGGGGGCTGACCCACCGATTGGTGCGCAGAGCCCTGTGGTACCCAGCACGACCCCACACCCAGACTTGCCCCTCAGCCCGGGGCCTCGCGGTGCCCGCTGCCCATCGGACGCAATGGCACCACTGTTTGTGAGGCTCTGGGCCAGCTCCCACCCGCGCTGGTGCAAGACCCCTCGGGAGCGCCCCCCCCCCAGACTTGCCCCTCAGCCCGGGGCCTCGCGGTGCCCGCTGGCCGTCGGACGCAATGGCACCGCTGTTTGTGAGGCTCTGGGCCAGCTCCCACCCGCGCTGCTGCAAGACCCCTCGGGAGCGCCCCGCCAGGAAGGGGAGCCGCAGGCCGGGAGAGGTAGAAACACGATTTTATTTTGTGCCCAGGCTGTTTCTGTCAGGAGCCCTCCCTGCAGTGCCCAAGGTCGCTAGGGTCACGGCCTTTCGGTGCAGGAAGCAGGCACCCTGTCCGGGCATTTCACCTGCCAGCGGCTGCAGAGTTGGCCCCAGACCCCTCGGGAGCGCCCCGCCAGGAAGGGGAGCCGCAGGCCGGGAGAGGTAGAAACACGATTTTATTTTGTGCCCAGGCTGTTTCTGTCAGGAGCCCTCCCTGCAGTGCCCAAGGTCGCTAGGGTCACGGCCTTTCGGTGCAGGAAGCAGGCACCCTGTCCGGGCATTTCACCTGCCAGCGGCTGCAGAGTTGGCCCCAGGCCTGCCCCGTGGCAGCCCAGAGGGAGGCAGGAACCGAAGAGCTGCGGGGGCAGCTTAGACTCTTGTTTCCCTTCTCAGCATTCACAGCTTGGGTGCTTTCTCCGCCGGGCAGAGCGGAAGTGGGGGGTCGGACAGGGGCTACTTAGTCTCCCTGCCCAGGGAGGAAGCCTAGATCCGGGGCTGGTGTTTTGCAGCCTCTGGCCATGGGCGAAGGGCAGGATTCCTAGCAGCCTTGAGCACAAGGAGCCAAGGGAGATGAGGTCCCCTTGGTCAAGAATATGGGGGGGTTATAAATGCAGAGACGGGGTTAACCCCCCACCTCCTGCAACAGAGCAGCTGCCGGTCCGTGTTGGGGGTGGCAGCGACAGGAACTGAGGGCTCTGTGCACTGCGGTAGGGCCGGGCCCCTTGGAGAAACAAACAATAAAACCCTCAGGGCTGCAGCTTTCAGAGCCTTCTCCCGGGCTAGTTTTCAAGGGCAACCAAGCCCGGCTTTCGGCCCGGGTCCGGCCACGTGACCCGATCTGCCAGGATGAGCAGGGCACGACACCGACTGCAGCAGGGAGGCAGGACCAGGCCACAGCAAAGGGAGACGGTCCCTCTCCTCTAGGCTCAGCTTAACCTTGGCCATGCTGCAGTGACAGCTGGGCCTGGCAGAAAGCTGGGAGGGAGGGAACCAGGCTTGGAAAGGCTCCCTGCGCAGGGATCTCGCTCACGGTATCTGCCCCGGGCGTAGCAGTGGTTGGGAAGGGAAGGCAAAAGCCCCTCTCCCACGGCTGGGGGGCTCAGCCGTCTCCGGGCCCTTACTGCAGAGGTTGCTAAGAAGCTGCCTTCAACTACAGGGCTGTCCAGCGCGCCGCGCTGCCGGGAGCCCAGCCGGGGATGCCAAGAGGAAGCCGGGCAGCTTTGTGCTGCCTTGTG